GCCTTTGTACTGGAATCTGTGGGAGAGCCTTTTCAGCAGGGAGTCGTAAAATACCGGGAGGCGACACGAGATGCACAACCGCGTCGGATGATTGACTCAGCTTGGGCACGAGTGCTGAGGGGAAATATAGAATCCCCATGAGGTCAAAGCGGCGCAGGTCATGCACAAAGGACGCGTTCGCTGTTTGGTCCCAAAAATCAAAAAAATAATCCTGCTCCCAAGGAATCGTCCGAGTGTCAGCAGTTGATTTGGTGATTCTAAGTTTGTGCCTTGACGAGGTAAAGGATGATGGAGCTTGACAGAGATGCCTGCCAAAGTGATGAGTCCACCGTGGAAGATGTAGATGACGCCACGTATCCACTTGGTGACCTGAGAGGCTGAGTTGTGGAGATGTTCAGCTGTGGACTACTGGTGACATTCTCTCGTCGGCATTTTTTGGTCTCGTCTTGTCCTTGTGAACACGAATGTATAATCTGTAGCATACTAAGCGCCCCAAACTCACCCGAAAAATGGGAGTCTGCCCACGGTGCATTGTCTGTTCACTATGACATGTGACAGTGTTGAAACTGTGACAGGATATTATTTTATTCGTGTCCTGAAAATTACGTGTGTACCTAGTATGTAAATTGTTGACATTATAATGTAAACCTCCGCCCTCAACCCTTGCTTTGCCTATGTGCAGATCCATCCATGTAAGAGTGACAGTGCCACCATGGTGTACAGGCCTATGGAAGGTGAAATAATCCATGGAATTTGCGAACTGCTGACAATGAGACAGGCGAGTGTTACTGATGCGATGGAGTCATTCCTGCATGTTATCAGGACACAGTTACACAAGGCATCAGGTTTTGGAAATCTGCTACGCCAGGAAGTGTGCCAGCTGAAGGCATGCAATGGTGCTGGCATTTCACAAGCATGGCAACAAGTGCTCTCCAGCATCTCAACAGCTTTTCCCAAAGTGAAGCTCTGTATAAGACACAATATGACACAGCTAAAAACAACTGAAGCAGTGACATGTGAATGTTGCACGAGCATGCGTGTGTGTATGTGTGTATGTGTGTGTGTGTGTATGTGTGTGTGTGTGTGTGTGTGTGTGTGTGTGTGTGTGTGTGTGTGTGTGTGTGTGTGTGTGTGTGTGTGTGTGTGTGTGTGTGTGTGTGTGTGTAGCACTTCGGGCACCGGCGGAGGGATGTTGTGCCGCGCATTGTGACAGGTGTGGTCGCTGCTTTCGCGGTGTCCGGGGACGGGGAAGGCATCGCTGTTCAAGGGTGGCTCATAGACCAACAGCAGAGGAGCGCTCAGCCTTCCAGCACGTGTGCATATGCGGCAAGCGGATGCGACTACCCGTGCACCTGGAGCGTCATCGAGCGTCGTGTCCTCTCTCTCTCTCTTCTCAAGTTTCCCAGTGATGGGATCACGTGACCCTTTTGCGGCAGTGACTCTACAGGACAGGACAGGTGTGTGTGTGTGTGTGTGTGTGTGTGTGTGTGTGTGTGTGTGTGTGTGTGTGTGTGTGTGTGTGTGTGTGTGTGTGTGTGTGTGTGTGTGTGCGGCTGTGCCAAAGCCTAGAGTGTTCATTTGCGGCTGTGGCAGGGACTTCCGTCGGCCCAATGATCTAACTCGCCACAGGAAATACTGCAACTCCTGATGCTATCATTGCACGGAGCAATGGGCATCCAAAGGTCCAAAGGCGTATGTGTGTTGTGCATTGGTGGTCGATTCAGATGGCTTTGCCAGTTGTGTGGATTATACAGTTATCTGGTGCATGTCTTGATCTGTCTTATTCAGATCTTGTTCGCTATCGTTGCTATAAGAGAAGATCTGTGGGTGCACATCCAGTGCATTTGCAGACTTGCGTTCTTCTCTTGCGACGGGCGTATGCATGGTATATGTGTGCGTGCGTGTGTGTGTATGCTTCTGTGATAAGTGGATCAAGCAGCATACAGGGTATTCACGGGTATTCGCCTTGAGTGCATTTGCCGATAGTGTGACTTTCGTCGCAGAGAACTTTGCTCAGTCGGTCAGGCGACTCGGCCTTACGTTTCCTGAAGGCAATGTGTTCAGAACACAGTTACTTCAAGTATGAACAGCTATGAACAGTTTTAAAAGAAATGACAAATATTGTGTGCAGTTCATGGACCATAATGTGAAACACTTTGAATGCAGAAGAATGAGGAAAGTGGCATCAAATGCTGCATGGATTCTGTTTGATATGCTACTTTTTTTTCCCTTCCATGGAAAGGTGAGTGCATCATCGATCTTCATCTCGAAACTTCACACAAACCGAGAGAATGGAACTTGGACAACATGAAGGGGCCATGGGCATGGTGTGTTTAGTGGAGAACTATTCCGAAAACAGGGTTGTCATTCGCACTTACTCAATTCAAATTTGAGTACTTTTCGTGAATAACTTACCTTGACATTCCGTCGTCTCCAAAGCAGTGAACTTCCCAAAAAAATAAAAGCCACGGCTCAACCCAAGGTAATGCGTGGTACGTATCAGAAACAACCAGCTTTCGCTCTGGAGATCCAGAATAGGCCTCGAAGCATAGCAAAAACAATTGAGAAAAAGAAGATGACGACGACGTTTCAATCACGTATCAAATTTCGCGGGTCGAGTGCAGCTCGGATCGTGAAATGTGTGGCGTGTCGCCTCCCGGTATTTTACGACTCCCTGCTTTTCAGGGACTACACACCTGGGTATCGGGTATGGCTCCTTTTTTGTTCCTTTCCTTTTTATTTGTTTTTTTGCTGAGAAAGAAACGTTGCTGGATGGAAAGCTTTCTGTTCCCGTCATGCGCCAGCGCCTTTGCTCTAGTAAAACATTGCTGGCTGATAATGGTCATTGCTCGTGACGTCAACTTAGAAGGTGACGGGAAGCTGGGTTTCTTGCCATTTCCAACTTCCTGACTCTGAAAATGTAGCTTGAACTAAGAGCTCCAAATATTTCAGTTTTTCGATGTGCCAGACCTATTGTTACGACCTGCAGACACGAGGAGCAAGTGAGGCGTTGGATTAATGCCAATAATGGTGTTTATGGCCTGGACGACGCCAGCGGTTTTCACTTGTCAGGAGGACAGCCAAGTTGGAGCAGGCAGATGACAGATTATTAACTTTGAGCATTTATAGCAGAGTGGGTGGCTTGCCAAAGAGAATCGTCTCAGTACCTCACGGTTACTAGTATCTGACAAATGCCTCTTATTGCTAGTCTGCACTAGAGCATTAGCAGAATTGATCATGTCACAAGTAGTGTCAAGACTTGATGTCCTACGATTATACTCAGAACATGTTGCTACTTCACAGGAATATTCGTCCTGCCCCTGTACACTCTTCCAGAATTGCATGCAGAAGTCACATGCCTGTCACAGTGTGCAAGGGACAACGCGTTTGCACTGCTTACGGATTCAAGCGGATGGAGTGCAGACCAGATAAGAAGACATAATCCGGCTATTCAAATAGCTTGGGCTGCTATTAATTGGCTAGACTCCTGGAAACATGGACAAGAATCTAAACCAGTCCACGGAAACAATATCACGCCACACAGGAAGCTAAATGGCAAACCAATCAAGTTCTTGGTTATGAAGCCGTTCACCAACATTGTCCGGTTGCATGGCTAGTGTCACTCAAACAAGACCAATGGACCTAAAAGATACGCTGTTGATCAACCACAACTCCATATGAGTATATGAGTGGAAGTTGCTGGTATAGTCTCTCCTAATGACCGCGTATTTGGCATAATGTTCTCTATACTGCACTCTAGAGCTACTTACCTTTTCCGGCATTTAACTCGGGCAGTGACCACTCGCCCGCAGAATGAGCCAATTGACACAGACGCTAAGTACCATGTGCATCCGTCGCAAGAGAAACACGCAAGTCTGCAAGTGAAGTGGATGGACACCCACTGATTTTCTCTTATGCCGATATCAGACATGACCTGAGTGAAACGTATGAAGACTTGCACCACATTACTGCACAATTCCATATAATTATTGCGAGGCCTTGTGAAATGATTCTCAATGCACACCTGGTCTACGCCACACAGAATACATCGGATTA